GGGGGGGGGCTCTGCAGCTTGCCTGGCTGCTTCTTGCTCTGACTGAGGGCTGCTGGGAGCAGGGGGTGGGGCTTGTTGCATGTGCCCGCCCCCTGGGCTCTTTACTGCGGAAGCTCCGCTCCTGTGCGCTCCTGCAGGAAATGACCCCTGGGTATAATGTAAATGTAACTGATAGATAAATGTAGTAATTTGAGAACGCAGAAAGGATAAGCTTAGTAAAATAGATAATGAATTTAGAAATTTAATAAGCAGAAGAAATAATAAAGTCTCTTGTTATATGTTATATGTTGTGAGGGGTAGTTGGGGGTTGTTTGTATGTATGTCTGTATGTCTGTAGTATATAATGGGAAAAAATAATAAAAGTGTACCCTCGGGTACTTAAAAAAAAAAAAGATTCTCAGGGTGTGACCAGTGTTCCCTCTAAGCTGAGTTAGTATGAGCTAGCTCAGTTTTTTAGCCTCCGGCTCAGACATTTTTATCTTACCTCAGGAAGGAGGGGCTCCAGAGCAAACTAATTTATGCAGTAGCCAAATTGCTCGCTCACAACTTTCATTCCAGTAGCTCACAAAGAGAATTTTTGCTCATGAGACTCCATGGCTTAGAGGGAACATTGGGTGAGCTTTTGCAAGTCGATGCTCCCTTCATCAGGTACTCAGAAAATCTCGTGGTTCTCTCAGGTGCTACTGGACTCCAATGAGGAGGAGGAGGAGGAGGAGAAATTGGATTTATACCCCGCCCTTCACTGGGAGTCCCAGAGCGGCTTACAAACTCCTTTCCCTTCCCCTCCCCACAACAGACACCCTGGGAGGTAGGCGGGGCTTAGAGAGCCCTCCTGAGAACTGTCCTTGAGAGAACAAGCTCTGAGAGAACTTGTGGCTGACCCAAGGTCACACCAGCAGCTGCCTGAGGAGGCGTGGGGAATCAAACCCGGCTCTCCCAGATTAGAGTCCGCCGCTCTTAACCACTAGTATAGCAACCCTCTGACACTTTCATCTGGTAGAGGTCTTTCACATCACCTGCTGCCTGGTCCTTTTATGTTGAGGTGCCGGGGATTGAACCTGGGACCTTCTGCAGGCCCAACAGATACTCTACTCCTGAGCCGGTCCCAAAGAGCATGAGAAATGAACGGACGCTGTTCAGACCCTTAGGGTTCATCCAGGTCAGTCTTGTTTACTCAGACCGGCAGCAGGGTCTCACGCAGAGGGCTTTCCCATCACCCCCTGCCTGGACCTTTTCAACTGGAGATGCCGCCGGGGACTGAACCTGGGGCCTCCTGCATGCCAAGCAGAGGCTCTGCCACTGAGCCATGGCCCCTCTTGACAGCGCTCCAGGGTCTCAGGCGGAGGGCTTTCCCATCACCCCCTGCCTGGACCTTTTCAACTGGAGATGCCGCCGGGGACTGAACCTGGGGCCTCCTGCATGCCAAGCAGAGGCTCTGCCACTGAGCCATGGCCCCTCTTGACAGCGCTCCAGGGTCTCAGGCGGAGGGCTTTCCCATCACCCCCTGCCTGGACCTTTTCAACTGGAGATGCCGCCGGGGACTGAACCTGGGGCCTCCTGCATGCCAAGCAGAGGCTCTGCCACTGAGCCATGGCCCCTCTTGACAGCGCTCCAGGGTCTCAGGCGGAGGGCTTTCCCATCACCCCCTGCCTGGACCTTTTCAACTGGAGATGCCGCCGGGGACTGAACCTGGGGCCTCCTGCATGCCAAGCAGAGGCTCTGCCACTGAGCCATGGCCCCTCTTGACAGCGCTCCAGGGTCTCAGGCGGAGGGCTTTCCCATCACCCCCTGCCTGGACCTTTTCAACTGGAGATGCCGCCGGGGACTGAACCTGGGGCCTCCTGCATGCCAAGCAGAGGCTCTGCCACTGAGCCATGGCCCCTCTTGACAGCGCTCCAGGGTCTCAGGCGGAGGGCTTTCCCATCACCCCCTGCCTGGACCTTTTCAACTGGAGATGCCGCCGGGGACTGAACCTGGGGCCTCCTGCATGCCAAGCAGAGGCTCTGCCACTGAGCCATGGCCCCTCTTGACAGCGCTCCAGGGTCTCAGGCGGAGGGCTTTCCCATCACCCCCTGCCTGGACCTTTTCAACTGGAGATGCCGCCGGGGACTGAACCTGGGGCCTCCTGCATGCCAAGCAGAGGCTCTGCCACTGAGCCATGGCCCCTCTTGACAGCGCTCCAGGGTCTCAGGCGGAGGGCTTTCCCATCACCCCCTGCCTGGACCTTTTCAACTGGAGATGCCGCCGGGGACTGAACCTGGGGCCTCCTGCATGCCAAGCAGAGGCTCTGCCACTGAGCCATGGCCCCTCTTGACAGCGCTCCAGGGTCTCAGGCGGAGGGCTTTCCCATCACCCCCTGCCTGGACCTTTTCAACTGGAGATGCCGCCGGGGACTGAACCTGGGGCCTCCTGCATGCCAAGCAGAGGCTCTGCCACTGAGCCATGGCCCCTCTTGACAGCGCTCCAGGGTCTCAGGCGGAGGGCTTTCCCATCACCCCCTGCCTGGACCTTTTCAACTGGAGATGCCGCCGGGGACTGAACCTGGGGCCTCCTGCATGCCAAGCAGAGGCTCTGCCACTGAGCCATGGCCCCTCTTGACAGCGCTCCAGGGTCTCAGGCGGAGGGCTTTCCCATCACCCCCTGCCTGGACCTTTTCAACTGGAGATGCCGCCGGGGACTGAACCTGGGGCCTCCTGCATGCCAAGCAGAGGCTCTGCCACTGAGCCATGGCCCCTCTTGACAGCGCTCCAGGGTCTCAGGCGGAGGGCTTTCCCATCACCCCCTGCCTGGACCTTTTCAACTGGAGATGCCGCCGGGGACTGAACCTGGGGCCTCCTGCATGCCAAGCAGAGGTTCTGCCACTGAGCCACAGCCCCACCCCTCCCTTTCCCCAGAGGGCCATCCCTGCCCAGCACGAACCCAGAAAACATGGATTTCCACCTCACCATGTCCATGTACATATTACGCACGCAGCACTCTCTTACAAAACAGGATCCCTTTCATCTGCAGGATGGGTACACTGAAATGGCTCTTCTCTCAGGAATTGTAGAAGAGGAGGAAGGCCCACGAAGAACGCACAGCTCCATAAATTTGATATTCCCAACTCCGGGCATGAGCTTCCAGAGAACAAAGGGAAGCGGCCGACTCACCTGCCCATGAACGTCCTTACAGAAGCCAGTCGCCAGCCCTTCAGCCCACAGGATCCGGCTGCTCTGGTAACGGAGGGCTTTCGCAAGCAGCTCATTCTCCTCATCCTCTGAATCATCACTGCCACGCACCATCACCACCGCATTGCCCTGGAGAAGACAGCATCACGAGTAGTTTCTGGGAGACATTTCGGCCCCGGATGTGATTTTATCATGTAAGAAGACGACCCCCGCTGGATCAGACCCGTGGTCCAGCTAGTCTAGCCAGCAGGCAACATCAGGGGAAGGCCTCAGGCTCTCTGCCCTGTTGTGGTCCCTCCAGAAGAACTGGTTGGCCACTGTGTGAGACAGGAGGCTGGGCTAGATGGACCCTCCCTGGTCTGACCCAGCAGGGCTCTTCTGAGGTTCTTATCAGGGGAAGGCCTCAGCCTCGCTGCCCTGTTGTTGGCCCTCCAGAGGAACTGGCTGGCCCCTGTGTGAGACAGGAGGCTGGGCTAGATGGACCCTCCCTGGTCTGACCCAGCAGGGCTCTTCTGAGGTTCTTATCAGGGGAAGGCCTCAGCCTCGCTGCCCTGTTGTTGGCCCTCCAGAGGAACTGGCTGGCCCCTGTGTGAGACAGGAGGCTGGGCTAGATGGACCCTCCCTGGTCTGACCCAGCAGGGCTCTTCTGAGGTTCTTATCAGGGGAAGGCCTCAGCCTCGCTGCCCTGTTGTTGGCCCTCCAGAGGAACTGGCTGGCCCCTGTGTGGGACAGGAGGCTGGACTGGATGGACCCTCACTGGTCTGACCCAGCAGGGCTCTTCTGGTGTTCCTGTCAGGGGAAGGCCTCGACCTCTCTGCCCTGTTGCTGGCCCTCCAGAGGAACTGGTTGGCCCCTGTGTGAGACAGGAGGCTGGGCTAGATGGACCCTCCCTGGTCTGACCCAGCAGGGCTCTTCTGAGGTTCTTCTCAGGGGAAGGCCTCGGCCTCTCTGCCCTGTTGTTGGCCCTCCAGAGGGACTGGCTGGCCCCTGTATGAGACGGGATGCTGGACTAGATGGACCTTCCCTGGTCTGATCCAGCAGGGCTCTTCTTATGTTATGTTCTTATGGGAAAATGATGTTCTAAAAGCTGCTTTGGGTCCCAACTCGGGAGAAAAGCAAGATATGAATAAATAAATGCCTACCTTAAGCAGAGAGTTCACTGTGACCCTGCAATAGTGGACGAAATCCAGCACATCAGTCGGCTTCACCCCCAGGCTCAGCAAGACACTGAGGTCATCCACAATAAGCACAGGGCACTTCCACGAGTCCCCACCCACAGCCGGGCTTAGGGCTGTCCGAACAAAGTCATGCAGTCCTCTCAGGTTGGAGCCATCTCCGCTGCAGGCGATGGAGGGAGACAGAGAGAACAGTCTCAGGCCGACGACCAAGCCCTTGGGGAAAACACCACATGGCCACTGGGGGTTTTCGTGCACATCCCCAGCACTGCTGTCTGTGCCAGGCGGGCCAATTTGATCACCACGAAAGGGGACTACAAAAATGTTATAGCATCTGTATAACTGACCGGTGGTTTTTATTCACAAATAATTAACATAATGCCCTGATCTGGACAGCCCAAGCTAGACTGATCTCATCAGATCTGGGAAGCGAAGAAGAAGAGGAGGAGGAGGAGGTGGTGGTTGGATTTATACCCCCTGCCCTTCACTACCCAAGGGAGTCTCAGAGTGGCTTACTGGCCTTTCCCTTCCCCTCCCCACAACAGATACCCTGTGAGGTAGACGGGGCTGAGAGAGCTCTGACAGAAACTGCTCTTTTTCAAGGACAGCTTTGCCAGAACTACGGCTTGCCCCAGGTCATCCAGCGAGGTGCAAGTGGAGGAGTAGGGGATCAAACCCGGTTCTCCCAGATTAGAGTCCGCACACTTAACCACGACACCAAAAGATGCCTGCCATTCAAACCCACTCCAAAGCCCTGGCAAAGAGGCAGGTCTGGCCCTTCCTCCTGAAGATCTCCAAGGAGTGAGGGCTCTTCACCTCTTCAGGGAAGAAGAAGAGGAAGAGGAAGAGGAAGAAGAAGAAGAGGAGGAGGAGGAGACTGAATTTATACCCTGCCCTTCAATACCCAGAGGAGTCTCAGAGTGGCTTCCAATCTCCTTTCCCTTCCCCTCCCCACAACAGACACCCTGTGAGCAGTGTTCCCTCTAAGCTGAGTTAGTGTGAGCTCCCTCTAATCTGTGGAGTCTTGTGAGCAAAAGTTCTACTTTGTGAGCTGCTGGCATTAAAGTTGTGAGCGAGGGATTTGGCTCCTGGAGCCCTTCTTCCCGAGCAGAGACAAAAATTTGTGAGCCGGCTCACACTGACTCAGCTTAGAGCAAACCAATTTATGCAGTAGCCAAGTTGCTCGCTCACAACTTTAATGCCAGTAGCTTACAAAGTAGAATTTTTGCTCACAAGACTCCACAGTTCAGAGGGAGCACTGACTGTGAGTTAGGCGGGACCGAGAGAGCTCTTTTGAGGACTGCCCTTGAGAGAACAGCTTTGAAAAAACTTGTGACTGACCTAAGGTCACTCCAGCAGCTGCATGTGGAGAAGCAGGGAATCAAACCCGGTCCTCCCAGATTAGAGTCCGCGCTCCTAACCACGACACCAAACTATACCAAACACATTCCGCAGAGCCGGAGCCATGATGGAAAAGGCCCAGGCTCTGGCGGATGCCAGACAGGCCAGCCTAAATGGTGGGAGAGCCAGCAGATGGCTGCCCAACAACCGTAGCTGGCACACAGGGACATGGAAAGAGACTGTATTGAAAACAGATCAGCCAATATCATAATGCCCCTGTATAAATCAATGGTGCGACCTCCTTTGGAGAACTCTGTACAGTTCTGGTCACCACACCTTAAAAAGGATATTATAGCTTTGGAAAAAGTGCAGAAAAGGGCAACTCGAATGATAAAAGGGTTGGAACACTTTCCCTATGAGGAAAGGTTAAAGCGCTTAGGGCTCTTTAGCTTGGAGAAAAGACGACTGAGGGGTGACATGATCGAGGTTTATAAGATTATGCATGGGAAAGAGCAGGTAAAGAAAGAGGTACTTTTCTCCCTTTCTCACAATACAAGAACCCGTGGGCACTCCATGAAATTGCTGAGCGGTCGGGTTAGAACGGATAAAAGGAAGTACTTATTCACCCAAAGAGTGATTAACACATGGAATTCACTGCCACAGGAAGTGGTGGGTGCTACAAGCATGGACGGCTTCAAAAGGGAATTAGATAAGCATATGGAGTAGAGGTCCATCAGTGGCTATTAGCCACAAGGTATAGATAGGGGCTCTGGGGCAAGTGATGCTCTGTAGTCTTGGTGCTGGGGGGGGTCAACAGCGGGAGGGCTTCTAATGTCCTGGCCCCACTGCTGGACCTCCTGATGGCACTGGTATTTCTGGCAACTGTGTGATACAGAGTGTGGGACTGGATGGGCCTTTGGCCTGATCCAACATTGGAGTCTCTTATGTTCTTACTGTCCTTCAATTATGTGAGTCCCAGCTCATGAAGGGCTTTAGAGGTCCTGGCTGAGCAGGGACAGGTAGCCAGGTCTGCGTGACCCTGGTCCACTTCCTTTACCCCACTGGCTCTCAAAGGGCCACCCTGCACTCAATTGCTCCTCTGGTTTCCCTTCAGAGCAAAGCATTCTGGGAGCACCCTAGCTCAGACTGGCTCGAAGGAATCCAACTAGTAAGTTTGCAAAGGGTTTCTTCTACACACACACACACACACAAATCCCTGGCCCCAGAGTGCACCTCCGCTGCTCCAAGTTACCTGATGAACTGGAAAGGATGGGGCTCGGCCGACTCTTGCCGCTTGCTAAACAGGACATCACGTGCAACTTTCAGGCCTTCTAAGAACACGAGCTGCCCCCGTTCTTTGGCTGTCGTCAGTCCAAGTCCCTGGAAAAAGAGAAAGCGTCACGTCCAGCCTTCTCCGGCCAAAGGAGCGTCTGTGTCGGGCTCCCGGAGGAAATCCTTGTGAGCCGGCTTCATGACACCTCCCCCCCACCCCCAATTCTTCACCCACTCCTTCCAGCCGCCTCGAGGTGAGAAGTGAAAATGCACAAAGCGAGCATGGCTCTCTAAACTGCAACCTGTGAGACAGAAGAAGAGGAGGAGTTTGGATTCATACCCCGCCCTTCACTTGGAGTCTGAGAGCGGCTTACAAACTCCTTTCCCTTCCCCTCCCCACAACAGACACCCTGGGAGGTAGGTGGGGCTGAGAGAGCTCTTGACAGAACTGCCCTTAAGAGAACAGCTCTGAAAGAACTTGTAACTGACCCAAGGTCACCCAGCAGGCTTTATATGTGGAGGAGTGGGGAATCAAACCCGGTTCTTCCGGATTAGGGTCCGCGCTCTTAACCACTACACCAAACTGGCTCTGAACGGTCAGGAGAGAAGTTGTGAGGTGACCGTCTTCACAAAATGGATCACAACTAACTGAAATTGGTTTTTAAAAAGCTACAGGCCGAAATGTCAGATTTTAGGATTTGGAAAAAAGCACAGCTGGTTTATCATTTGGGGCGCACAGCCTAAAAAGGTAAGTCAAGCAGAATAGAGGGCCAGCAATAAAAACTTAATTTATGTAGCATGAAACGAAACATGTATTTATTAACAAAGAATTAAAAAGCATCTCAGCGCCCAATCGCACCTCATATAAAAATGCCAAAATTTCACACACAAGGACCAATGGACTCGACCTGACGCATTTCGGCCTGTATAGGACTTCTTCAGGGGTCAAACACGATGAGGCGCATACTGGCTTATATCATTGTTGTTGTTTGTTGTTCAGTCGCACAGTCGAGTCCGACTCTCCGCGACCCCATGGACCAGATCATGCCAGGCCCTCCTGTCTTCCGCCGTCCTCTGAAGTTTGCTCAATTTCATGTTCGTTGCATCTATGACACTGTCTAACCATCTCATCCTTTGCCGTCCCCGTCTTCTTTGACCTTCGGTCTTTCCCAGCATCAGGGTCTTCTCCAGGGAGTGCTCCCTTCTCATTGGGTGGCCAAAATATTTGAGCTTCAGTTTCATTATCTGGCCTTACAGGGAACAGTCAGGGTTGATTTCTTTTAGGATTGACTGATTTGTTCTTCTTGCAGTCCAAGGGACTCTCAAGAGTCTTCTCCAGCACCACAGTTCAAAAGAATCTATTCTTCGGCGCTCGGCCTTCCTTATAGTCCAACTCTCGCAGCCATACATGACTACTGGGAATACCATTGCTTTGACCATGCAGACTTTTGTTGGCACGGTGATGTCTCTACTTTTTATCATGCTGTTTAGGTTCGCTTATATCATAGTACAATCCAATCATACGATTATATAACGTAGATACAAGATGGACCAGAAAAGAATGGTTCCAAAGTGAAACCACTAGGCACAGAAGAAAAGCATACAATCACATGCCAAATGATGTTTCACTGATAATGATTTCTGGTCCAGAAAGTGCCTTCCAAAGATTGTTTAGCCAAAGCGTCCTCAGTGAGACTGTCCTTAAGCAAGGATCCCAAGTTTCAGGGTTAAGTCCCACCCCGCACCCCTTTTTTGTCCCTTATTGTTTGGGGTCGCCGTGTTTCCCGTAAGAGGTGGACAAAATAAGTCCCGCCCACTAAAGGCCGTACACGGGCTCTGCTTGATTCCCAGAGTCGCTGCTGCCTCGGCTGGCGCTCTCTCCCATGCCACAGTCTGCAGGTCCTTCCCCAGAGGGTCCATGGCAGGGCTTTTTTTGTAGAAAAAGCCCAGCAGGAACTCATTAGCATAATAGGCCACACCCAACAGTAGAAATTAATTTGCTTATTAGGACACACCACTGACAGCACAGCTCATTAGCACATTAGGCCACACACCCCATGTTCGCAGAAGTGTGGTCATCCAGACACACTCACCTTTTGCTTCTTATTCTGTTTACCTTGTTTGTTGTCAAAACCCAGGGCCTTTTTTTGTAGCAGGGACTCCTTTGCATGTTTGGCCACACACCCCTAACATAGCCAATCCGAATGAGTTCCTGCTGTTGGGTGTGGCCTATTATGCTACTGAGTTCCGGCTGGGCGTGGCCACCTCGGGAGCCAGCCGGAACTCCGTTCCTGTGCGTTCCTGCCCAAAAATAGCCCTGTCATGGCCTCTTTAGCTCTCACTGCTGCTGTGGGCGTAATACCAATCCGCCAGGGTGATGTAGAAGAAGAAGAAGAGTGCAGGACTGTCTGTCTAAAGATAGCTTCCAGGCATGTAAAATCAATACTCTCCTAAACTGAGGAGGGTTGCTCTCGCCTATCATTTCCTGTGCTCCCCCCTTCCTGCTTCTCTTCCCAGGCTGGAGGAGGAAGAGGAAGAAGCGGAAGAGATTGGATTTATACCCCCTGCCCTTCACAACCCAAAGGAGTCTCTGAGCCGCTTACAACCTCCTTTCCCTTCCCCTCCCCACAACAGACACCCTGTGAGGTGGGTAGGGCCGAGAGAGCTCTTTGGAGGACTGCCCTTGAGAGAACAGCTCTGAGAGAACCTGTGACTGACCCAAGGTCACACCAGCAGCTGCATATGGAGGAGTGGGGAATCAAGCCCGGTTATCCCAGATAATAACAACAACAAAAAGAAGATGAAGAAGAGGAGGAGGAGGAGGAGGAGGAGGAGGAGATTGGATTTATACCCTGCCCTTCGCTACCCAAAGGAGTCTCACAGCGGCTTACAAACTCCTTTCCCTTCCCCTCCCCACAACAGATACCCTGGGAGGTAGGTGGGGCTGAGAGAGCTCTTTCGAGGACGGCCCTTGAGAGAACAGCTCCGAGAGAACTTGTGACTGGCCCAAGGTTACACCAGCAGGTACACGTGGAGGAGTGGGGAATCAAGCCCGGTTCTCCCAGATGAAGAAGAAGAAGAGGAGGAGGAGGAGGAGGAGATTGGATTTATACCCTGCCCTTCACTACCCAAAGGAGTCTCACATCGGCTTACAAACTCCTTTCCCATCCCCTCCCCACAACAGACACCCTGGGAGGTAGGTGGGGCTGAGAGAGCTCTTTCAAGGACGGCCCTTGAGAGAACAGGTCCGAACTTGTGACTGGCCCAAGGTCACACCAGCAGGTGCAAGTGGAAGAGTGGGGAATCAAACCCAGTTCTCCCAGATTAGAGTCCACACACTTAACCACTACACTAAACTGGTTAAGAGCATTGGACTTGTATCTGAGAGACCCAGGTTTGAATCCCCACTCCTGCCATGGAAGAAGGAGGAAGAGGAGAAGGAGATTGGATTTATATCCTGCCCTTCACTACCCAAGGGAGTCTCAGAGCGGCTTACAAACTCCTTTCCCCTTCCTCTCCCCACAACAGGCACCCTGTGAGGTAGGTTGGGGCTGAGGGAG